CAAAAAAAAAAAAAAAAAGTTTTAATTCATAAATAGTTCTATACTTTTATGGGGTACAGTGTGGTGTTTTGCTGCAGGTATTCCTTGTAGAATAATTAAGTCAAGGTAATTAACATACCCATCATCTCACTTACTCATCTTTTTTTGTGATGAGAACATTTCAAATTTTAAGATATATATTATTGTTAACTGTCGTCAACATGCTGTGCCACAGGTCTCAAAAACTTCTTCCTCCTGTCCAGCGGAAACTTTGTACCCTTTGATGGACGTCTGATCCCCTCACCCCAGTCCCTGGCAACCACTATTGTACTCTCTACTTCTGTGGGTTTGACTTTTTTAGATTGTGCGTACAAGTGAGATCATGCAGGATTGTCTTCCTGTGGCTGGCTTGTTTCACTTAGCATAACGTCCACCACGTTCTTCTATGTTGCAAATATCAGGATTTCCTTGTTTCTCAAGGCTGAAAAATATTCTATTATGCATATATCTTACGTTTTTCTTTCTTTTTTTTTTTGGAAACAAGAGTCTCACCGTATCACCCTTGGTAGAGTGCTGTGGCATCATAGCTCACAGCAACCTCGAACTCATGGGTTTAAGTGATTCTCTTGGTCCAGCCTCCTGATTGGTTAGGACTGCAGGTGCCCATCACAACACCCGGCTAACATTTTCTTTATTCATCTGTTGATAGACACTTAGGTTGCTTCCATACTTGGCTATTGTGAATTGTGCTACAGTGAACACCGGTGTGCAACTATCTCTTAGACATATGATTTCAGTTCCTTTGGACCTATAAAGAGAGACATCTCTCTGTATACATCCAGGAGTGGGACTGGGGGGCTATGTGGTAGTTCTATTTTTAGTTTGTTGAAGAACCCCGAAAAGTTTTCCATAAAGGCCGTACCACTTTACATTGCCACCTACAGTGTATAGGGGTTCTTTTTTCTCCATGTCCTTGCCAATACTTATCTTTCATCTTTTTTTTTTTTTAAATAGCCATTCTAAGTGTGTACAATTTTATTTATTTATTTTTATTTATTTATTTATTTATGTATTTTTGAGACAGAGCCTCAAGCTATCCCCCTGGGTAGAGTGCTGTGGTATCAGCTCACAGCAACCTCCAACTCCTGGGCTCAAGCGAGTCTCCTGCCTCAGCCTCCCAAGTAGTTGGGACCACAGGCGCCCGCCACAACACCCGGCCATTTTTTGGTTGCAGCCATCATTGTTGTTTGGCGGGCCCGGGCTGGATTCGAACCCACCACCTTAGGTGTATGTGGCTGGTGCCTTAGCCGCTTGAGCCACAGGCGCCGAGCCATGTGTGTTCAATTTTAAAACTGAAATGAATTACCTTTTTTATCTTCAGTAATGGTTCTTAGCTTAACGTCTATTTTGTTACATATTTAGCAATATGACTTCACCAGCTTTAATTTTGAAAGTATTTATACAATACATCTTTTTCTATATCTTTTTGTTTCAGTGTTGTCAGCTGAGCCCAGTCCGATGAGCTTATCTTTTAACCGCAGCTTTAGTCCTGCTTTACTTAATAAATTAAGAATATATTTGCACTTAATGCCATACCTAATTTGTTCTTTTTAATTGTAGTACATGATTTCCATTTCTTTTTTTCTCACGCAAGCTTTTAGGCTACCAATCTTTAAAGTCTCTGCTTTTTGCTATCCCTCAGATCAGCAGATGATCTAATTTCCATTCTTTTTCTCTTGATCCATCGTTTGTTTAGTAATGGATTTATTTCCAAAATGTGGCTATTTTTCTAGTTATATTTTTGGTGTTGTTTTCTGGCTTATCTTAGGGTTGGGAAACGTGTGAACCGTGCAGCTGGTGTGTGTAGGGTTCTGTATGTCAGGTATGTTTGTGATTCCTGTTTAAATCTTCCTATCTAGCCTGTTGATTCTACCGATTACTTGGAGAACTCGTATTAACATTTTCCACAAGGATTATTGATTTTTCTGTTTTCTCTGGTTTTTATCAGTATGTATTTCAAAAATACTTTCAAATCCCTCCTCCCTGGTTGGTCTGGGGCAGTACTTTGTTCAAGGAAGCTGACGTGCTCTAACATGATGTGGTCTTGAGATGCCTGGCTTCTGTGATAAGAGGGACTGACCAGCACTGGTCACATCTAGACTGTTCATTATCCAAGTTTGAATGAGGCAGATTAAATGAAGGGACTCAGGGGTACTCCTGGGTGGGGGGTGTCAGGGTGCCATGAGTCTTTGGCGCCCACCTCCGTTGTCTAGGCAGTTAACCCATGTTGGATGAGTGGAGATATTTTCTTTCCATCTCCTTTAAATAGCACCTAGATGTTACTTAGCAGTGTGGCTACTGCTAAGCCACGGTCAAGTCTGAGTTCCCACCCAGTCAGTTCTGGTGGACTTCTTCATCCTCCAGTCATATAATCAGCCTTGTCAAGTGTTGGTCCTTCAGGTTTAGTGATCTCAAGTGGAGGTCAATGTTAACACCTTCACCCAAGAGAAAAGGTGAGTGCCTATGGGGAGGTCACAGCTCTTGAACACAGGGGATGTTTTCATTTTAAGATTTATTTTTCTTTATCTTCAGTTATTTGAAGGAATGAAGGCATTTCGAGGTGTAGATAATAAAATCCGACTGTTTCGGCCAAACCTCAACATGGATAGGATGCATCGATCTGCCGTGAGGACCACTCTGCCGGTATGTAAATTGAGGAGGGTCTTTCATATTAATGGTTCTCTCTGTTAACCGCCAAACATCCTTTCTGAATAATTAAATCACTCGTCAGTATAAACCATATAAACACTGAAGTTATTCCTGATCCACTTTAATTAGGAGGGTAAAAATACCAGGAAGTAACCAATACCAATTGGCAATTCCACGTTTCTTATAAATGATGAGTCTTGTATGAGGAGGGGAGGATTAATGTGAATGTGAGGACAAAGAAGGATGGAAAATGTATCTCACCCTACTGTAAAATTGAATGACTGTATGAGATTATGATATTGAAAATGAAAAGTACAGTTAACAGTGCAGGTGTTTGGGGGATATGTTGCCTACTTGTTTAAACACTAGCAAATAGCTGGCCAGGTGGCTCAGGCCTATAATCCTAGCACTCTGGGAGGCTGAGGTGGGTGGATTGCTTGAGCTCACAAGTTTGAGACCAGCCTGAGCAAGAGCGAGACCCTGTCTCTGCTAAAAAATAGAAAAATTGAGGCAAGGGGATCGTTTGAGCCCAAAAATTGGAGGTTGCTCTGATGATGCCATGGCATTCTACCCAGGGTGACAGTTTGAGACTGTCTTAAAAAACAAATAGGGCAGCACCTGTAGCTCAGTGGGTAGAGTGCTGGCAACATACACCGAGGCTGGTGGTTTGGGTCTATTAAACAATGACAACAGCAGCAACAACAACAAAAAAAACAGTCGGGCATTGTGGCGGTTGCCTGTGGTCCCAGCTGATTAGGAGGCTAAAGTAAGAGAATCGCTTAAGCCCAAGAGTCTGAAGTTGCTGTAAGCTGTGACGCCACGGCACTCTACTGAGGGTGACATAGTGATACTCTGTCTCAAAAAAATAAATAATAAATAAATTAAATTAAACTAGCAAGTATACAATGATTTAGTTATTTTGATAGTTGATCTCACCTTTTGAAATGAAAAAAGGATAGCAAAATGGTTTCTCATAGCAACTGGCTCTCAGCTGTCATGTGGTTTGGCATACAGGAGCCTTCAGTATAAGGTGTGTTAGAGTTCCACCCGGTGGCTCACATCTAGGGAAAAGGTGATGTGGATTGCTCTTACTCCAGGAGATATGACTGGGTTGCCTTTCTAGACTGAAAGGAGTCTCTGCCTTCTTTTACGTATTCTGCAGACCTAACCTGTAGGAACTTAGCCCAAACTGTGCATTGAAGAAGCCCAGTTAAATCCAAGTTAACTACTCTTTTTTAGCTATGTTCTTCTTTCTATGACTCTTCGTAACACAGGCTTCATCCACCTACTCTATAGGCCATCATGTGGTAGTAGGGGAATTAAGGTAAATTCTTTGGATTAGGTCCAAGTTTTACCCTTCTACCCAGTGCAGATAAATCACTGGGAAAACCTTTAAAATGGGGCCAGAAGGAACGGGAAACAGTATTTATTTAGACATCAGCTCTGCTACAACTTGTGTGTTATGTGGTTTCACGTTCCTTACCTGCTTGATCATAGTAGTGAGCCATTGTCAAGATGGTATTTACTGTGCAATTTAGTCGTGCCTTTGTACAGAGAAGAAAATTCCAGACCAGAGAGATGAAATGACTTGCCCAAAGTCACATAGGGTAAGGAGCAAGGGTGTGACATTAGGTCCAGGTTTTTTGATTTCTTCTCCGGTTCTCTGTTCACTGAATTCTGTCTCTGGGTAGCAGCACCAGAGACCCAGGCAGGCCATACCCAGTTCACATGTGATGGACAATGCCAGTTTCTAGAACACTGTGCTGTGATTGCAGTTATAGGTTAGCACTTAAATAGGCAAATCCTGATGTCATGAGCTCTATTTCTATGCTTGTTTGCAGACTTATTTCTACCTTGGATAACCAATCACATTTCTTTTTTATTTTTAATGTGTGGCTTTTTTTTTTTTTTTTTTGAGACAGTTGCCTCAGTTGCCTCTGTTGCCTCAGGCTAGAATGCCCTGTCACCATCGCTCATAGCAACCTCAAACTCATAGGGTCAGGAGATCCTCTTGCCTCAGCCTCCTGAGTAGCTGGGAATCCAGGCGCCCTCACCAATGCTCTGGCTAGTTTTTCTATTTTTAGTGGAGATGGGATCTCATTCATGCTTAGGCTGCTCTCCAGCTCCTGAGCTCAAGGCCTCTTGCCTTGGCTCCCTAGGGTGCTAGGATTACAGGCATGAGCTACCGTGCCCCACCAGCCCATCACATTTCTAAAAGTATATTTCTCTGTCTTGAATGTGAGGAGAAAGTATTTAAATTATTTTTTCAACTTTTTCCTGAGAAATAAACACCTCTTTGCTTTTGGCCATTTTCCTCTGGAGTTTTTTTGCTTCTTTCTTTCTTTGACACAGAGCCTCAAGCTGTCCCCCTGGGTAGAGTGCCGTGGCATCACAGCTCACAGCAACCTCCCAACTCCTGGGCTCAAGCGAGTCTCCTGCCTCAGCCTCCCAAGTAGCTGGGACCACAGGTGCCCACCACAATACCCGGCTATTTTTTGGTTGCAGCCATTATTGTTATTTGGTGGGTCCAGGCTGGATTCGAACCCGCCACCTTAGGTGTATGTGGCTGGTGCCTTAGCCACTTGAGCCACAGGCGCCGAGCCTTTTGCTTCTTTCTTACTGATTTTTTTTTTTTTTGGACATCTTAGCAAATACTGGCGACAATCCTTTGTTGGTTATTTGCTACCAATAACTTCACCCAGTTTGTTGCCTTTTGCATCTTTTGAAAAAAAGAACAGACAAACTTGGGCAGCACCTGTGGCTCAAGGAGTAGGGCACCAGCTCCATATAACGGAGGGGAGGTGGCGGGTTCAAACCCGGCCCCAGCCAAAAACTGCAAAAAAAACCAGACGACCTTAAGTTTAAAAAAAAAAAATCTTTTTTTCTTTATGATTTTTGTTTTACATCTCTTATTTAAGAATCTTTTTCCACCAAGGTCACAAAGATATTTTGTATTTTTTTTTTCCTGAAGTCTTGATATTTTTTCTCATTCTAGGTACAGATTGCAGTTGTAATTGATTTGGGACTGTGGTAAGAGATAAGGATCTAATATCTTTCCAGTATGGGTAGTTCATCATTGTACCACAAGTTTGGGGGAACAAAAATCACAGTAAAAAACGTTTTGTTTGGTTTTATTATTAAAAAATTTTAACTGATACATAATTATACCTATTTATAAGGCACTTGTGATGTTGATATGTGCATAATGTGTAATGAGCAATGTGATTAGCCCATCAGCTCAAACATTTATCATTTCTGTGTGTTGGGGTTATTACTACTTTTTTAACAGTAAAAGCTTCAGTAAGAAGCATTTCTTATTGCTCCATTGGGAGAACATTGAGTTATTTATGATGCTTTTTGATTCTTTTAGGTATTTGACAAGGAAGAGCTTCTGGAGTGTATTCAGCAGCTCATAAAGCTGGATCAAGAGTGGGTCCCGTATTCAACATCTGCTAGCCTGTACATCCGTCCCACGTTCATCGGAACGGAGGTGCTAACTGACTCCCTATTTTGGGGTACTTTGGTGGGCATGTTATCATCATTTATTCTTGTTTAAACTTTTAGTAGTAGTTTGAAATAGCACCCCAATAACATGAATGACTTCTTTCTCCTGATTATCAAAACTAAGGGTCGCACACGTTTCCTGTAAAGGGCTACATACATAGTATTTTCGGCTTTGTGGGCCATGTAGTTACTGTCACCCTTACCCAACTCTGCCATTGTGATACTCAGGCAGCCACAGATGGTCTATAAATGACAAATGCATGAGAAAAGAGCCCTGCGGTTTGTCCTCCCTGGATGGAGACTAACCATCATTTTCTAAATTGACAAGCATAACAGCTTGTCATAACCCCCCATTGTGGCAGAGCTCCTCTGTGTCAGAAGAAGTAATAGCTTTGCAATTTTGGTGAGGGAGAGGGGCTACTTTTAATTTTTCATTTTCCTGAAGTCTCGAGATTACTTGGCAAGGCACTGGGAGCCAACGAAGCTTCCAACAGAGAAAAATGCTTAAAGCAAAGTTTACAAGATGAGTTAGGGAGGGAAGTCAGAGGGCTGGAACGGCAGGCCCAAACACCATGGCCTTACCATCTCCCAGCAGGGCAGTTTCTCCGTGGGTGCCCTGGTATGTGAAGGAATGGATTTGGGCATGCCCGCAGGGGCCAAGGCCACCCGAGTGCGTGAGTGTGTCACATAAATATTGCTTGTCTCCTGTATCTACTAGGCAGCTGCGGGCGGCCTCAGGAAGAGTGTGAGTGAGAGTGAGGATTAATGGATGGGAGGAGATGGAATGTGGGGGCAGGTGAGGGGTGTGGGGCACATGGAGGTCTCAAGGAGTATGGGTAGTGGGATTGAGCTTTCTTGCTATAGCTGGCCAGTCTGTTCTCTACTGAGTGATTCTGAGATTACCACTACTAGACTGAGTGAGTGCAAAAAGTAGGAAGATAACTACGTATATAGGACCACAGAATAAATACTTAAGTGTTTCATTGGCCTTTCTGGTGCATTTTGAGAGGCTATTAAGGATCTAGGTAATGAATTTCATGAATAGCTTTCTCTGGTAAGTTTTAAAGAACTGGGGGAATTTTAAGTCATCTACTTCCTTAAGATCTTTGGCATTTAAATATTATTGAATCTTTTAATCTTTTTAACTTCATGATGGAAAGAACCAATATTTAAGAAATTCATTCTCACTTCAAGTCCATTCTTCTTATTTTAAAATTTTGCTTGTTTGGGGCGGCTTCTGAGGCTCAATGGGTAGGGTGCT